CTCTCAACTACGTCACCTCGATTCTCTCCGCAACTACTCTCTCCTCTCTCTCTCTCTCTCCCTCTCTCTCTCTCTCTCAAATGGTTTATTTTGCATTGAGATGAGTTTATGTCTCAGTAATATTGATGAGTGGAGGCACTTTTTCCACTATTTTTGTCCTAAATCCTAATCCTCTAATGGCGAACTCCTGCAAAGCCACTCTGTTCAACACCTCGCCATTTTTCAACCACAAAACATGCCCTAATCTCTCCATTTTCAGGGGCTTAGCTTCCCATGCTCAGCAACAAAAAAATAAGTGGATCCCAACATTAGGGTTTTCAAGGAAATGGATTCCTGCTTTGGATTTTCAGAATCGGATCCAACAGAGCTCTGTAACAAAAAATGAGGCTTTGGCTTTACGTTCTGAGAAAGAAGAGGGTTTCGTAGTAGTGAATTTTTATCGCTTGTTTGCATTGAGAATCCAGAAGAGGAGATGGCAAGGCATCAGCTATTCTTGCAGGTTCTTGTTGATATCATCTTATTTATTTTAAAGATTTGTGTTGATTGAAGTAGCTGCCGATAAATTGATTTAGATGGCGTATGATTGTGTGCTATTTCAGTTACATTAGTATTTGTCTTTTTTATCTTCTTCTGCTGTTTCTCTTTATTCTAAACTTGTGAATTGAGCAATTTTGTATGTTTCAATTCGTGAGCTCAAACTCTGTGAATATGGAAGTAAATCCAAACTCGGAGCCATATCTGGATCCGATGTATAATATCCCGAAATTCTCACCCCTAGATAGCATGTTTACTGCACATGCATCATTCATAAGATAAAATCAAGGCCATGAGAAGAAGGTGAAAATCAAATTAACTTTATTTAAGAAAGCATGGAGCATTCTCTCAACCAAAAGAAGGGCTTCAACAAAACAATTAGGAAAATAATCAGGAACACGTACCAGGTTCAAAACAAGATGACAAGAACACACCTGTCCTATACATGTCCGCACCCATACAAACGTGTATGTCATACAGTACAATCCAACAATTTAAAGAATTGCGCTGAGTCCAAGTGGACTCAGCTGGTAACTCAGCCACAGCCTATGGCTGAGGCAAGTAGCAAGGGCAACTCGCTCTCTTTAAAAGTAATAAAAGGCCCTAATTTTTATTAAAAATTTGCATTTAATGATACCGAAATGCATTAATATATGATTTATATGGTTTTCATTTATATGGTTTTCAGATTATTTGGAAACTTTCCTTCTTCTTTTTTGGATAGTGTTAACAACTTTACTGAATGAACTGGTACGGTGGAAACTTTCCTTATTACATGCACAAACTTTTTATTTTTCTATTCTTTATTACTCTAAATATTACTGGACATAAATCAAAATTTTCAAATAATCCATCTTTTATAAACATTATTCAACTTCTATAGACTTTTAACAATCTCTATTAGTTATTTTATTTTTTACATTTTTAACTATTTAACAAACAATTTCAAATTGTTTTGAATTTTTTATAGTGTGTTTATCATGTACATGACTTGGCTGAGTTACTTGTCTCAGCCAAGAACCAAGTATTGCCTGAGGCGAGCTGGAAAGCATTATTACATGTACACCACTGATTTATTTGAGAGACAAATGTCAACAATAGAAAGCATGCTTGTGCTACCCGCAAACTGTGCAATTGTGATATGAAAGGACAAATGACACTTGGACTATATAAACCATTCATCCACCAGACTCTACACTGGCATGCACAAATAAATAGATGCATGTTCAAATACGATTGCATACTAGAATGTTATTAGAATTATTCTCTGGTATACCATGAAGTATGATTGATCATGTACATAAGAATTTTCCAATTCAAAAACTTCAGGAAAAGAACTGTATGTATTTTAAGCAGAAATAAACCTAATATGATGACAAAAATTCAGTAAGCCATAAAACAGATAGATGGAAATTAGCTCACAAACAGAGCAATGATGACAGCGAGGAGGCTTATTATTCTGACAGCGGCCGCAATAGCCTCCTTCTGATGTTCTTGCCATGGAAGTAGATGGAGACCATGCAGAACTTCTAACTATAGGGGCAACAAAATCTGATGAGTTTGCAGAAGCAACAGTCTCTGGATTTTCCTCATCAAGTAAGCGTCTCCAGTTTTCAGGAACGGAACCTGGATCTGTGAAAACCACCATGCAGTAGCTCCATATCAACATAGCAAGCTGCAACATAAAGCTTAACCATTAAGTGGAGAATTAATTATTGAGAATTCTACAAGATAGTACTGCAAATTTGAATTGTTTAGAACTATGTCAACAAGACACCACTACCGATCTCAGAAATGCAAACCCCAAAAATTGATCTCAAAGAACAGTATGGAATCACCCTACATGAAACTTTATAGATTTCATTAAATACACGCACGCACGTACGAGAGCGCAAGTAATGGGAACACCGAGGCTTTCAGGGAATTCTTTAGGACGCTCGGGGCCATAACTCAAGTCGATGAAGGATTATATACCGGCCCGGCTTCCCCTGCTCAGATAGTGTAGATGGTGGGTTAATTGAAAGATTCAAGAGATTTGCACCACCAGCATTCTCGAGGCATGGAGGAGTAGAAAAGGCTGATAGATGGAGGAGGCAGGTAGAGAAGATCTTCGAGGTCGTACAATGTTCGAACGAGTAAAAAGTAAGATTAGGGCCCATCATGCTAGAAGGGGATGCCGAGCACTGGTGGAGTTCGATGAAGCAGTCCTGGGTGGAGCCAGTGACTGTGGCCACATGGGAGAACTTCCTAGTGGCATTCAACGAGAAGTATTTCCCTGACTCTATCCAAGAGAGGAAGGAAGCATAATTCATCAAGCTGCAGCAAGGAAAGATGTCAGTAGAGCAGTATGCGGCCAAGTTGGCGGAGCTCTCCCGGTATGCGCTGCATATTATCAACATCGAGGCTCGTAAGGCGAGCAAATTCGTGGGGGGCCTCAGACCAGATATCCGAGCGAGATTGATGTCAGCCAATCTTAAGGCGTTCTCCCCATTGATGGACCTAGCCATGAAGATTGAGAAGGACGAAGCCCAAAAAACATTCCCGGGCGATGTAAGGGAGAACCAGCACCCAACATGCTACTATGGGATTAGCAACCACTCTGCAGCTGAGTGGTACAAGAAGGCGAGAGCGTGTTTCAGATGTGGCAAGCCTGGCCACCTGATCAAGGACTGCCCTATGATGAAGCTAGAGAACAGACTGAAGACTCAGGGTCGGGTGTTCGCACTCACGGAGCAGGAGGTTAAGGCTTCTACCTCAATGATCCGAGGAATGCTCTATGTTTGTGGTAGAGAGGCTAGGATTCTGATATCATTCTTTTGATGCACCTCATTTTGCATGTCATCTAAATGTTGAACCTTCACCTCTTGACTATACTTTAGAATTGTGCATGCCTTTGGGGGATTCTATGGTGACTGATACAGTGTACAAGCAGTGTGGGGTATTGCTTGAGGGGTGTGTCCGGGCTATAGACTTGATACTATTAGATATTCAGGACTTTGATGTTATTTTGGGCATAGACTGGTTGTTTACACACCATGCCACTGTTGACTGTTATGATAAGAGTGTGACCTTTAGACCCCCTACCCAACCTGAGTTGCACTTTCTTGGTATTTAAGATGTACCCCCAGTTATTTGATAAGCAGATGAATGATTTAAAGGGACTAAATCCATTTCAGGGGCGGATGATGTAAGGTCCAAGACTTTTTGAGTCATTGATCCTATTTGCATCTTGAATCCTTTCCTACTAATGCTTCCTTTAGATTTTTTTTTCGATTTGTTGAATAACCTTTGTCTGGTGCTTTGAGTGGTATTGTGTTATTGTAAGGATCGTGAGCTTTCCGACAATATGAAAATCGCTCAGATTCTAACAACCGTCAGAAAGTCATGATCCGTACTCCGAATATTTTTCTATTAACAATCTTTTTTACTAAATTTATTCTATAAATCTTAAAAAAAAAAAATTTTAAAGAAATTTATTCCATTTGAAATCTCTCTCTTTCTATTAACAATCTCTTTTACTAAATTTATTCTAGAAATCTAAAAAATTAAAATTTTGCAAAATGAAAGTGTTTTTTTGAAAATTGGTATACATTCTAATAATTTCTAATCAAATTTTTATTTTATTTATTAATTTTTGCATTATAAATCATGTAATTTATTATCTTTCTTACAGTTCTCAATAATACATTTTAAATTAGATCGTATTACAAAATATTTTAGATTTGTTATTATTTGTATAATATAATAATTATAAAATTTAAACCAACAATTTTAATTTCGGCATATAACATTATAGTTAGTTAGATTGTAATAAATTTGGATTATAGTTAGTTAGTTTGTAATAATTTGGGTATTTTTAGGGAATTAGGGCTTTCCGCCAATTTGAGATTTTGATGGCCATTTTTATCCACTAAATCTACTTTTTATAGTAGTCCATGTATGATTATATACTTTATCCATGATAATTATATGATTTTTCTTATGTGTGATGTAAATTTAATGGTTAACATAAGTTTATACAAAGAAAAAACATATCAATATTCACAAATTGATGAAAAAAGTGAAAGTTAACAATGGAGTACCTTCATTTCTTATTGGATTCCTAAAAGACTACATTTATAATTAATTTTAATAGTTTTTCTGCATTTTTTAGAGCTTAATCTGACCGAGTCGGCCGAATCCCCAATCCGGATCGTCGATTCACCGATCCGGATGGGTTTTTGAAGTGCCCGATCCGAGGCACCGATCCGTTTTTTAAATCACTGCCTTAGATCATGGATTTTGGTGGGTCCATAGGATGTTGAATGTATTTCCACATGGAAACGACCTTTTTGTTAATATCTCATGTAATTTGAAAGCTATTAACTATTTGCTGAAGCATGCCAGATTTATGAAATGAAAATCTAGGGATTTAGCATGTTTTTGTGTGAAGCTTTTGACTGACCAAAATTTACTAGAATGAGGTTTAAACACTTTAAAATGTTAGATGAGTCTAGTTTAAAATTTGTTTTGGGCTTATAATAAAATTCATTATGGTTTGAAAGTTATGGTCATTTTTCTAGTAATGTGTCACCCTAGATTTTCTGCTGCACAAAACCATAGTTAGCAAGTCGAGGACTATCAATAATCGGCTTACCATAAAATCAAAAAACAATCGTTTTTATTTTAAAAAGTCGGATGAAAAAATCGGGTTAAAAATACGGATTGGCAAAAATATTTTATGTAAAATATCACCAATATATCATACTAGGCTAAAAAAATCGGATAAATTTTAAAAATTAGAAATTTTGAAATTCTAAAAAATAAAAATTATGCCAAAACCATCAAAAAATTATACCATACCATATAAATTTACTCATTAAATACTTTAATAAATATCACACCTACTCAGTAGGTATCCAAAAAAAATACAAGAATGTTTTTTCCTCATTAAAATTTTTTAACTATGGTATGGTGACTATAACTATAGTTAAAGTTTATATACCTTTCTTTAATTGAAAACAGGGCTGGGCTCGTAGCCATTGGTTTCACATTGCTTTGTTTCTAGAGAGAGAAAAGGAAGAGGGTGGTCTCTAGTTTGCACGATGAAACTAGGAAGACTAGAAACGCTAGATTATTGGTTGGTGGATTCGATCAGTAACTCTATCGTCTCGTTCTGGGGTTTCAGATGATAATCATGGGGTTTCAGGTCCACAATATGAGATTAAGAGGGATGGAAAACCTAAATCTTTCTCTGTTGAAGATGGGATTGTGAACTTTATGGTTTCAAGGAGTTTAGAAGTAGTCAATAATTATAAGATTTTGGTCGAGAATTTAGGGTTTCTGGTATCAAAGGGATTTGGCCTCCCATGCTTGCTCAACCTGCATCAAAGGGATTTTGGTCGAGACTTCTAGGGTCTCTTCCTGTTGTGGTTGATAACTTCTAGGGTTTTTGTTATCAAAGACATTTTAGGTCATTAGCACATGTAGATGAGGAGGCTTCTCCCATGGTAAGAGGAGGGGGTTGGGAGAGTGAAGAAGATATAAGGGAGGAAGAGAAATTGAAAGAAGAGAGGTTTGGGGCTAGGGTTGAGGAGATTGATCTCACTACTGCTTCATGCTCATTCTCACAAGAAAAAGGAAATTATCTTTCAAAAAAAAAAGTGCAAGTACAAAAAAAAACAATGTTTTGGTGTGGTTTACATCGTTATACGAAAAAATCGCATTTTAAACTTTTTTATGAAAAATACACGATATTTTGACGATTTTTTCAAAACATTGCAGTTTTAAACGGTTTCCATAAAGTCGTCGATTGTTTTAAAAAATCGTCGTTTAATCGGCAATTTGCTAACTATGCGCAAAAAAGAAATTTTATTCGGGAAAATCAAATAGTTTGACAAACTTTAGACCAATATCTGGGGTTACTTCTTATATGAAAGTTGTCTTGTTATGAGTCTAGTTATCAAGAAATTGGTTGCAGGTTTAAATGATCTTTGATTTTAATGATATGCCCTTAATGGTGGACAGTGTTCATCGTGGAAAAACCAGTAATATGACATCGTGATGGTTATTGCATTGATATATAATATGATATTGACATGATAATGTCTCTTGAATTGATAAGCATGATAATACGACATAGTGATGTCTATTACGTTGATATATAGCATGATATTGACATGATAATGTCTCTTGAATTGATAAGCTTGATAATATGACACGGTGATGTCTATTACATTGATATATACCATGTTACTGACATGATAATGTCTCTTGAGCTGATAAGCATGACAATATAACATAGTGATGTTTCTTGTGATTATATGTATAGCATGCTCTGGACATATTGATGTTTGTTGTGATTATATGTATGACATGCTTCTAATATGATTTGTGTGCATGGAAACATGCTTCTGTTATATGATCCGTGCATTATGACATGCTTCTAATAAGATGTGTGCATGATAACATGCTTCTGATAAGATATGTGTACATGGTAACATGCTTCTGATAAGATATGTGTGCATGGTAACATGCTTTCAATAAGATATGTACGCATGGAGACATGCTTCAGTTATGATCTGATGAGATATTTGTGCCGACAGCTGTGATCTTCCCTGTCCTCTATGATAGGATAAGAGTTAGGAGTGTGTGTGTTTGGGTGGTCGCTCTCCCAAAACTTATGTGAGGCACTAC